AAAAACAGACACATAGATCAATGGAACAGAATAGAGAATCCAGAAGTGGACCCTCAACTTTATGGTCAACTAATATTCGATAAAGGAGGAAAGACGATCCACTGGAAGAAAGACAGTCTCTTCAATAAATGGTGCTGGGAAAATTGGACATCCACATGCAGAAGAATGAAACTGGACCACTCTCTTGCACCATACACAAAGATAAACTCAAAATGGATGAAAGATCTAAATGTGAGACAAGATTCCATCAAAATCCTAGAGGAGAACACAGGCAACACCCTTTTTGAACTTGGCCACAGTAACTTCTTGCAAGATACATCCACAAAAGCAAAAGAAACAAAAGCAAAAATGAACTATTGGGACTTCATCAAGATAAGAAGCTTTTGCACAGCAAAGGGTACAGTCAACAAAACTCAAAGACAACCTACAGAATGGGAGAAGATATTTGCAAATAACATATCAGATAAAGGGCTAGTTTCCAAGATCTATAAAGAACTTATTAAACTCAACAGCAAAGAAACAAACAATCCAATCATGAAATGGGCAAAAGACATGAAGAGAAATCTCACAGAGGAAGACATAGACATGGCCAACACGCACATGAGAAAATGCTCTGCATCACTTGCCATCAGGGAAATACAAATCCAAACCACAATGAGATCCCACCTCACACCAGTGAGAATGGGGAAAATTAACAAAGCAGGAAACCACAAATGTTGGAGAGGATGCGGAGAAAAGGGAACCCTCTTACACTGTTGGTGGGAATGTGAACTGGTGCAGCCACTCTGGAAAACTGTGTGGAGGTTCCTCAAAGAATTAAAAATACACCTGCCCTACGACCCAGCAATTGCACTGTTGGGGATTTACCCCAAAGATTCAGATGCAATGAAACGCCGGGACACCTGCACCCCGATGTTTCTAGCAGCCATGTCCACAATAGCCAAACTGTGGAAGGAGACTCGGTGCCCATCGAAAGATGAATGGATAAAGAAGATGTGGTTTATGTATACAATGGAATATATTACTCAGCCATTAGAAACGACAAATACCCACCATTTGCTTCAACGTGGATGGAACTGGAGGGTATTATGCTGAGTGAAGTAAGTCAATCGGAGAAGGACAAACAGTGTATGTTCTCATTCATTTGGGGAATATGAATAATAGTGAAAGGGAATATAAGGGAAGGGAGAAGAAATGTGTGGGAAATATCAGAAAGGGACACAGAACATAAAGACTCCTAACTCTGGGAAATGAACTAGGGGTGGTGGAGGGGGAGGAGGGCGGGGGGTGGGGGTGAGTGGGTGACGGGCACTGAGGGGGACACTTGACGGGATGAGCACTGGGTGTTATTCTGTATGTTGGTAAATTGAACACCAATAAAAATTAATTTATTAAAAAAAAAAGAAAAGAAAGAAAGAACGTGAAAGAGCTGCAGTTCCCCTAGGGGCCCAGTGCTCTCACCCAAGGAACTTTCAGTTGGAAGCTTCCATTGTGCCGTTTGTGTCCCAGCACCTTTGAAGAGGCTCTTCGTTCCCTCGGTCTTGGAGCTTCTCTTCCTATTCTTTATTTTTATTATGAAGACTTTATTTCTTTAGCTTAAGGTTCACAGCAAAATTGAGAGGAAAGTACAGGGATTTCCCACATACACCCTGTCCCCACACAGATGTAGCTTTCCTGCTGTCAACATCTCCCACCAGAGTGGCACATTTGTTGCAACTGATAAGCCTATACTGACACAATCATCATCAACCAGGGTCCAGAGTCTACATTGGGGTTCACTCTTGGTGTTTGAACAAGTGTATAATAACATGATCTGCCATATGGTAGGTATCCTATAGAGCGTATCTTCACTGCCCTAAAAATCCTTTGAGCTCTTATCACTGCCCCCCAAACTCCTGACAACTATTGACCTTTTTACTGGCTCCAATAGGATTTTTTTTTTTGCCAGAATGTCATATAATTGGAATAATACAGTAACCTTTTCATATTGGCCTCTTTCACTTAGTAATATGCATTTAAACTTCCTCCTTGTCTTTTCCTAGACTAAAAGCTTATTCCTTTTTAGCGCTGAATAGCATCAATTGTCAGGATGTATCAATTTATCAACTCACCTACTGAAGGCCGTGTTACTTCCATGTTTTGGCAACCATGGGTAAGCTGCTACAATCATCCATGTGCAAGTTTTTGTGTGGACATATTTTTAATTACCTTGGGTAAATACCAAGGTATATGATTACTGGATTGTATTTTAAGAATATGTTTAGTTTTGTAAGAGACAGCCAGACTGTCTCATGATGTGACTAGTACCATTTGTATTCCCATCAATAATGAATGAAAGTTCCTGTTGCTCTGTATCCTTGCCAAAGTTGGCATTGTCAGTGTTCCAAATTTGGGCCATTCTGATAGGTGTGTAGTAGTATCTCATCATTGTTTTAATTAAAATTTTCCTTAGGACATGATATAGAGCATCTTTCCATTTGCTCATTCGCCATCTACCTTCTTGGTGAGATGTCTGTCAAGGTCTTTGGCTCATTTTCTAATAAGGCTGTTTATTTTCTTATTGTCAAATTCTAAAAGTTCTTTGTATATTTGGAAATGAGACCTTTGCCAAAGGTCTTTCACAGAATTGTCTCCCAGTCATGTCTTGTCTTCTCATTCTCTTGGCATGGTCTTTCGCAGAGCAGGAGTCTTCGACCTCAATAAAGTCCAGCTCAGCAACTATTTCTCTCATGGGTCATGACTTTGATGTATCTAAAAGTCATCACTGTGCCCAAAGTCATCTCAATTTTCTGCTATCTTCTAAGAGTTTTATAGTTTTGTGTTTTACATTTAGGTATGTGATACATTTTGAGTTTTCATGAAGGATATAAAGTCTGTATCTAGGTTCATTTTTTTTCTTTTTGTATGTGGATGTTCCGTTGTCCCACGACCACTTGTAGGAAAGATTACCTTTGGTCCACTTTACTGTCTTTGCTCCTTTGTCAAAGATCAGTTGACTATATTTATGGGGGTGTGTTTCTGCACTCTCTATTCTGTTTGTGTAATCTATTTGTCTATTGTTTCAACCATACCACACTGTCTTGATTGCTGTAGTTTTACAGAAAGCTTTGAAGTCACATAGTGTCAGTCTTCCAACTTCTTCAGTATCTTCTTCAGTATCATGTGATATTTACCTTTTGTCACTTGTTGCTGTTTGCACTAATAGTACAAGAGCAATGGTAGGTAAAATTATACTTTGATATGATCAAGGTAGCAGTACCAAACTGTTCTTACACTCATCGTATTCTTTACTGTCACCATTTAACGTACCTTTTTCAATGACCAATTTCACTTAGAAATATCCTTGATGAAGCAGTACAAATCATGAACTTTATTAAATATTGACCCCTCAGTAGACATCTTTTTTTTTTTTTCATTTTCTGGGTGCTAAAATGAGAATTACACTTAAGGCACTTCTGCTGTGTGCTGAACTAGGATGTGTATCAGTTTCGAGAAAAAAAAGCCCTTGTGTGATTGTTTGAATTACAGAGGAAACTCATTGCTTCCCACGGAATACTGTTTTTACTTGAGAGAATAATTGACAGAAAAACTATGGTTACTGAGACTGCAATATTTGGCAGACATTGTCACAAAAACAAATAAAGTGAGCTTGTCACCTCAAGCACAACAACCGACAGTGTTTGTTGGCAATGATAAAGTTTGAGTTTTCAAGCCAATGGTGACATCAGAAGTGATACTTATAAAATTTGTTATCATACGAAGACAGGTGTCAATGTCTAGATAATTTGCATAACCCAGTGAAATATATCAAAACTCTTATTCCAAGAAGCTTGGCACAAGCACTCTGAAGACCTTAGCTTGAATCCAAGGCCTGCCATTTACTTACTATATCAGCTCTGTTGTCTCAAGTTAAAAAAAAAAAAGGCAATTTCCTCTGTTTCCTCATCTGTAAAATGGGTAGAATATCTACCTCACAGAGTTGCATAAGGATTTAATAAATAACATATAGTAATAAATATTAATGTATACTCATAAGAATATATAGAATGATATAAAACAAGCACTTGGCACATGTTAAATATTGTATAATAACTTTGCTATTGTTATGACTATCACCATTATGTTCATCATTTCAGGTGGAAGGACGCTGACGTCACCTTTCTCTATAGCGTAGGACTTCAGAGCATAGGTTCTGCTAATAGACATTGCTGGGTTCAGATCCTAGCACCATTTACTAGTTAGTGATCTTGGGCAAGTGATTTAATAGTATAGTGACATCTCATGTGATTAGTATCAGAAATAAACAAGATAATCCATGTGACATGTTCAACTCAGGACAGGATACATTAGGATAACTCATTTAGAATAGTAATAGTAATTCAAGAAATGCTTCTTGAATTGTATAAAATCATATCACTTATGATGATATTAAGCCTTTCAGAAGGATTTATAGATTTCTGTGATACTTTCAAGAAATGATATTGGTAAACCAGCTCTCCGGGAAAAAAAATTCTCTGAGTTATAACATCATCTAATTTCTGAGATGTAAATACTCTCACCATTGTCAATCTCAGGCTACCAAAAAGAGATCACTGAATGCAGAATGGGGGAGAAATTCTCACAGTTGTCCCTTGCAAGCTGATATGAGCCAGCTCCAGCACACTTTCAAGTACACTCTCGAAAAGATATAATCTACTAACACCTCCTCTGAGGATCCTAGTCCCCAGGAAATTATACAAGAGCAGAAAAGCATACGGAAACTGAGTTTGTGGGGACTTTTGGAAATCTTTCTGATTTCTCACTAAATTCTCAGAACTTGACTCATTCATGCACTTGTGAAAACGATACAACTCTCTACACAGTTTGAATAGTTAGAAAGGATTTTGTGACATGACACCTTATAAATTAGGAACTTAGTCTAAGATGTGATTTAATCTGAAAATACAAGACACATTTTGACGATTTCATCTATTAAAGAATATAACCTTCCTTCTAGTGTCTTCTGTCCAACTATTAAATTTATTTAACATCTTTTAGAAAGGAGCAAGCCAACGTTAAAAAAAAAATAAGCCAAAAGACTGTTGGGCAGTGAACATACTCTAGTTCCAAACGGGAGTGGAAATGAGGCAAGATTATATAGTGAGAGTAGAGAAAGCAAGATGAAGGGAAATTGCCCATGACAATAGGTCATATTAGGCATTATGCATTTCAATATCTGTAACTGAAAAGTCACAGAAGTCAAAAATAAAAATGAAAAAAGACTCCCAGGCCCACACACTGCCTGCTGGTGTTGCTAGAATATTTAGCCCTCTCTCCATTTTGTATAAAAAATAAATTAAGTATAAATAAGGAGGTGAGGAAGCTGGTGCATACTCAGGTGTGTTCACAGGTATGTACTCAGAGAGGGCAAGAGAATGGAGCCAAATGTCTTTCCTCTCCCACGCTTGCTACACAAAACTCTCCTCCATGTTGCTGCAGAGTAAGAAAGAGTCCACGAGCCGGGGCTGGACCAGCTGCTGGAAGTCGGAGTCCTGCAGGCCTTCAGGGCAGACCCCAGCCAGTCTACGCAGAGCAGCCTGGGGAGAAATAGAACAGAGGACACAGGTCAGGCCAGGTTCTCTGCTCGGATGCATGTATTCCCTTCAACTGCCCTGGGAGGTGCATTTCTGGAAGTGGCACACTGATCAGTCAGTTTGAGTAAATCATCACCTCGGTCAGCTGGCACCTTTGGGACATGGTCCTTTTGGTCACCTGGTCACTATGGTAACTTTATCATTTGGTCATCTGGTTTGTACCTTGGTCATTATGGTGGATGTCATCTGAAAGCCCTCATGATCTTAATAATGGTCTTACCATTTTGGTTTTTCAATCAGCTCAGAAACCTGGTTATCCTAAAGATCTGTCATTTAAAAAGTCTGGTCAACTTACTGACTATTTAAGTTCAAGATTTGTTCATTCTAGAGACCATAACTACCAGAAGCCTCAATGGTATTACAGCCTTATTTCCAGGTCCCTAGAGTTGCTTGAGAATAGCAAGGGATATTTACTGATTCATAAATTCAGCAAGGTTCTGACAAAGCATTATGGGAGGGGAAAGAGAGGAAGGAAGGTCATAAAGCTGAAGAAGATGGAGATTCTGCACGGGAAAGACAGATGCTGACAGAATGACACCACTGCCCAGGTCCCCCTGTGCTGGGCATTTCACTCCTCGCTGAGTACTCTATCCTGCTTTATGTCTACATGCCCTTGCTCAGCATTTCTCCATGGCACAAAGTCCCTCTTCACTCTTTTCTAGCCAGTGGGTACATTCACCCTGCGAGGGCTGTCCCACCATCATCTCCTCTGTGAAGCCTTCCCTGATTCCCTGAAGCAGAGACAGTCCTTCCCTCTTCTCTCTGTTCATGGCCCCTGGGCTGACCTGAACCTTCTCACCCTTGACTGCTACTGGGTTTTTAGGTGTTTGTCTCCCACACTAGACTCTTAGTTCCTCAAAGATAGACACTCTGTTTTATTTTTCTCTGTATCCACAGAAGAAGGACAGGGTTTGGCATAGGGCTCAATAAATGTAAGTTAAATTGAAAAAAAAGAAAAAGTGAAATGCTTTAAAATGGAGTTCTATTGCTAGAGCCACCTGAAACTGTAAATATGGGCCACGCACCTACCTCCACCTCTCTCCCAGTCCGCTGAGGCAGTGCATACTAAGTGCTCAATGACTGTGAATTCCTTCCCTCTTCTGTTCACAGCAGGGAACAAGGTGAGAGCTTAGGGGTGCCCTTGCCCCGAGAAACAAAGAGAAGGGAATATCTGGAATGGCAGAAAAAGCAAAAAAAAAAAAAAAAGGAATACTAATACTTACTTACTGCATATCTCAACATAGTATTTCATTTAATCCTTACAGAATACTACAGGGTAGTTGTCATGATCTTCAGTTTGGAAATGAGATGAAGGCTCAGTGAGGGAAAGGGGCCTTCCCGAGATCACCCAGCAGCAGTCCCACTGCAGGACCCTCACACCCGTGCACACAGTAGGGATGGAGAAGGCCCAGGGCACAGGGTTATACTGAATACATGAGCCCTCATGACCTATACCTATTGCTGAGAAACCACCAAGTCAGTGAAAAGAAAGGAAGGCTTAAGTTGGTTGTTGGATGAACAGGGGCTGCCATGTTCAAATTAGATCAAGGAGAGGGACCTGAGCGGGGTTTGGAACACTAGTGGCAAGAAGTAGACTCTAGGAGACTGTCCCTCAGTAGTGCGCCCTGCCTCTCCTGGGGGCTATTTTCCCCCAAGGGGCTACAGAGGCTGAACTCCATAGCACTTTCTGATTCCTCTTGGCTCCAACTGGGAAAAATAACTCTATACCCTTGACTTGTCACAGTAAAAAATGGAACCTGAGTTCCTCAGCAGAGGAGCCTAGGAAGCCATTGATATATTTTACATCATAATCATAAAGCAAGAGGGAAGGAGCAGCGAGGAAAGATAAAGAAATGGAGAGAAAACAGACTCACGAGGAGAATGAGATAGAAGAAGAAAATAGAGAAACAGAGAAAAAGAGACAACGGAGAAGTGGGACAGGAAGGCAAAGTTAAAACAGAGAGGCAGAGATGAGCTGGTGAAAGAAAGATCAAGCCTGACAGAGAGATGGAGAGAGAGAGAGAGAGAGAGAGAGAGAGAGAGAGAGATGGTGACAAAGAAAGAGAGTGCCCAGGGAGGGGGGAGAGGGGCAAACAGGAGGGAGGGAGGAGAAGGTGAGGAGCCATAAAGGGAGGAAGGGGAGAGAGTGGGGGTGGGGGCGGAGAGAGAGCTGAGGGGAAAGGAGAGATAAAAACTCCTGAAGGAAGTCAAGCTCTGGAGGAGAGAAAAGCAAAAAATAAAATGAAGAGGGAGAGAGAAAGGGAGGGGGAGAAAGGGAGACAAAGTGGGGCAGGGGAGAGGCAGAGGGAGAGCATCTCAAGCAGATGCCCTGCTGAGCACAGCCTGATGCGGGGCTCCATCTCACCCACCCTGATATATTGCCCTGAGCCAAAATCAAGAATCAGACGCTTAACTGACTAAGCCACCCAGGCACCCCCTGGCCTGTGGTTCTCTTTTCTTAGAGGGAGAGAGAGAGAGAGGAGAGGGAGAGAGAGAGAAGGAGAAAAAGAAAGAGAAGAGGGAGGGGGAAAGGGAGAAGAGAGAGGGGAAAAGAATGAATGAACTAACAGACCTGAAAAAACACAAAGGTCAATGGACACCCTCGTCTCCCTGGGGTCCCCAGAAGGCCTGCAGGACAGGAATCCAAAGCAACTCAGAGCACCCCCTCCTCAGCGTCCCAGAGCTCAAAGGACCCTTCCCCCTTCTGAAGCCTGTCTCTGGGCTTCTGCTTCCCAGGGAGGGTTAACAGCCAGTCATCCCAGGATCTCAGTCCCAGACAGTCTGAAAACACCCAACCATTAAACAAGCCCAGCAGCCCACTGACAGCCGCCTCATTAAGCAAAAATCAATTCTGTTTGCGCGAAGCAATCTGCACTGCCACTCTCCCAGATGTGGGAGACAATAATTGAAATGTCCTCCCTCCACCTGAAGAGAGCCTCTGACGCTGGGAAGAAGGCCTTGGGGAAGGCAGGAGAGGTAGCCTCCAACTCCATTTGCCAGGCCAGCCACCTAGCGGCCCCCATCTCAGCAGCCAGGGGGCCACACTCAAATGTGGAACCCCTTCTGGGAGCCAAATCACCACCACCTGCAATTCTGGGGCCTCGGGGTGGGAAGAGAAATCTATCTGTCCCTCAACCAGGCAAGAAACAGTCACCAAAGCCAAGGTCCTATGGAGATATCAAGGGCTGGAAAAGGTCCCCAGCCCTAAGAAGTTCCAGACTTGGGGGGGGGGGTGGAGAAAGATCTGCCAAGAGCCAAGGGAGCAAGACCAGGGCCCTAAGACATGGGGGAGAAGGCGTGACTGAAAACAAGAAGGTCTGGCCACAAAGCCAAGACCTTCAGCATTAGGCAGGCCTATGTTTGAATTCCAAGACCCTCCCCTTTTAATACCCAGCACACGAGATCCCATAACCTGCCTCCCACTGAAGATAACAAAATCCAAGCCGGCAGGCCCAGATGCCCATGTACTCCCTGTCTCTGAGCCACAGGCATCCCCCAGGATACCTGACAGAGGAGATGGATCTGGGCCCCAGCCCTGTGTTCGAGCCAGAAGGCACGGGGCTGTAGACAGTAGGCCACAGATCATGGGGGACCATGGAAGGGCCAATGATGGAAGCATCGTGACTGTAAAATTAGAACTAGCCCAGCAGCCACAGGAAGGGTCGATTAGGGAGGGTGAAGCTCTCTTCAGCATCCCATGAGCCATCCTCCAGGGGAAATGTAATACCTTTTCCACTGGAAAGTCCTTCACGTGACTGAAGATGGTGGCCAAGCCCTTGTGCATGTTTTACTTCAAACTAACACTATGGATGCACAAAGAATTGTGGCCACAGGCCTGCATGGAGCTTTCTGGTTTCCCACTACAACCTGAGGGCGTCGTGGTGCTGGGCACTCGTGGGCGCCCCGAGCGCTGGAGATAATGGCGGTTGGGGCCAATGATTGTGTTGGCCCAGCATTAACTCTCTCCACTTGACTCACTGAGCGAGACAGGATTAAGAAGTTCTCTCAACTGGGGAAAACATTACCTCGTTACAGGTACTAACCTCCAGCTGAAGCTTAGCCTCCCCTTCAGTGCAGCCACCGACCATGAAGTCACAGCAATTCCTGCAACTTGCGTGCCAAGGAAAGTCACAGATCCTCTCATACCCCGGTAACTCTTGCTGGAGGGACCCTCAGATAGCATTTATGCTCATTTCTAGTCAAGGTTATAATACTCATTAGACCCACTGCTCGCTCTCTTAGTTAACATGTTAATTAAAAGTACATATGTTAATTATATCACATAAATACTCCAATAACTATTGTAATAATTCCTTCTTAATTCTATATATTTTGGTTTATGCATTTAAAACATTATTCTTAGAAGGGATCCAGAAGCTCCAACAGATCACCAAAGGCACCAAAAAGCTAAAGTTGTTCTGCATGTACCAGAATCAAAGTCCCATGAGAGCAGAGATGTTTGTCTTTGTCTTTCCCCCCGACACAGCTGTGTCCCCATAGCTCAGAAGTGTGCCCAGCACACAGAATCACTCAGTAAATATTTATTGAATAAGATTTATAGGCACTTAGTGACCTACCCACAGTCCTGCAGCTTGTTAATGGCAAAAACCAAGACAGGTGTGTCCGACCGCAATGCCCTCTGGTCTCAACCATACAATGTCTATCAGGAGCTCCCCAAAATGAGATGAGCTTCGTCTAAAAAATGATAGAGTGTGGAGGGGGCTTTACCGAGAGGAAGAGGGAGAGAGAAAGGAAGGGGGAGAGATGGAGAGAAAGTGGGGGCTTGAAGGCCCTCCAGATCCCTCACTTCCCCCTCGAGTTCTTTAAGGACCGACCAAGAATTGGGCACTCCCTTGAAATCTCTTGGGACTCGAAGAGTCAAACGACCCATTTATACATTGGTTTCTCAGCCTCTTCACGCTTCCAACTGGAAGCAGCTCTGTTTGGGGATTCAGTCCAGCCCCAGCAGGGAGGAATGTAGAGACAAAGCGCGCATTCCCATCTGGTACAGTTGAGTCTCTCATGGTGGCTCCAAGCAGCAAGAAGTTGGGTGGGGATCTCATGAGATGCACTGCTTTGGTTCAAGTTGAAGATCTTGGCGAATAACACTTTCTGTCCTGTCCTATTGCTGCCAGTCCTACTCTACAAGAGAGGGGGGTGGCTATGAAGCTGGAAGAGTGCCAGTAGAGGGGCCCTGTCGAAGAGGATGGAAGGCTTCTCTCCCAGTGTCCCCTTTGCCTTTTTTTTTAATTTTTTTAAAAATTTATTTATGATAGTCATACAGAGAGAGAGAGAGGCAGAGACACAGGCAGAGGGAGAAGCAGGCTCCATGCACTGGGAGCCTGACGTGGGATTCGATCCCAGATCTCCAGGATCGCACCCTGGGCCAAAGGCAGGCGCCAAACCGCTGCGCCACCCAGGGATCCCCCAGTGTCCCCTTTGGAACAGACACGAGACCTCCATACCCTACCTTCCATTGCTGCAAGTACCATGGTGTCGCTACCACCTGTCAACATTCTCCCCGCCAGCCACGCTGGTCTTGAGCTGCTGTTAAGACTCCTCAGAACCTCAAAGGTTCATGGTTATTAAAAGTATGCGTGAGGGATTCCCTAGCCCCCCATCTTTCACATATATGACCTCATATCATTATCTTTCATCTTTTTAAAGATGTATTTATTTGAGAGAGAGAGAGAGAGAGAGATCTCAAGCAGAGGGAGGGGAAGAAAAGCAGGTGCCCCACTAAGTGGGAAGTCAGAGCCTAAGATCATGACCTGAGCCAAAATCAAGAGTCAGATGCCCAACCGACTGACTGAGCCACCCAGGCATCCCTTTTCTTCACAGTTTTGTGAATTAAATGAAACACCTTTATCACCATTTTAAAGAGGAAAGTTAAGTGCAGAGAAGTCTCATGGCTTACTCAAGCCAGCCAAGGCATCGCCAGCTCTCCTGGCCCCTGGTCTGCAGCCCCAAAGCCCAGGGCAGAAGCCGGGGGGATACGGGGAACTCACCAGGCAGGCCACGAGCACAGCATCACTGCTGTTCCTTTCGGAGGGCGATCTGCAGAGCTCGATGAGGCGGGACATACCTGTGGGAGACACACAAGAACAAGGATGGGAACGGGCCTGGCCAGGCCTGACCCAGAGGTGCTCCCCCTGCACCCCTCCCACAGCTTTCTGGGTCACTCCAGGGCCCCACCAGCTCACCACCTGGCCAGAGAAAAGGTGCTGAACCCACCTGGAGGAGCTTGTGGTGGAGACTCTCTGTTCCCCTGGGTCTGAACAGACCCTGCTCAGGGCCAGTACTGAGCTTAGGAGAGCTGCAACAGAACGTACTGGGGACCTCTGAGAAAGAACTTCCTGTGTCAGTACTTCTGATTTTGCCAGAACTATATTTAATGTTTACATCATTATCAGCAGGACTTCCCATTTTTCTCCCAATTGCCTATTACAGTCAGAAAATGTATTGCTCCTAAGATTATAGAAAACTCCAGATTGAGGAGGTTAATATTTCCTAGGCCTTTATAGAGGAAAGGCAAATAAATGACTCTGCTTTTCAATGTAAATTGGCTTTTTACAAACTCCAAAAAACAAAAATAAAACAAAGAGCCAACTCGTAAGATATTAATAAAAGGTGTACAGACACATTCTATGTGTTTATCTTCCAGAAAGTCTTTCTGGAGCCAGAACCTGGGGCCACCTCATGCCATTTGCCAGGTACCTGCACGAGAGGCAACAACACCATCCTATCCTTGGGCCCCTTCCTGGGATACATTCCCCAACCATCACCCTGGAATAAAGCCTCAAACCAGAGCTGAAGGCTCACCTCCCTGCTAACACATCCCCCGAACCGCCTGGAAAAATGTGAGCTGCTTCCCCCCTGTGCCAAACGTGGCTCGGACATGCTTTGAACACTGGCCTATGGTATGCAAGGGCACCTTTGTCTTTCCATATCTGCCACCCCACGAGGCTGTAGGCCCCTGTGGTCAGGACAATGCACAGTCAGGGTGTTAGGCCGAGCACTGAGAACCGAGTCTAGCAGGGAGTGGGTGCTTTGAAAAGACTCGCTGGGGACATGTGACGAACTGAATGCACGAGTGATTTAATGAGTGAATTAATAAATGAATTAAACATGAATAAAAGAAGCAGTGAATGAGTGCACGAATGAACAAAAGCATGAGTTCGTGAGTGAATGAACAGATGAACAAGTAGATGAGTGAATAACTGAGTGAAGGACAAAACAGAACGACTGCATGAAGGGGTAGGGCTCTCAGCGGGGAGTCTTAGGTGAGTGGCTGTTCCATCCGACTTCAGCCTCCCCGGGCCCTGATTCCCTCTAGTTTTGGCCCCAAACTTACCAGCTAGATGGGGGGGCCACATGCTGGGCCCCCATGCCAGCATTTTCTGGCACCTTGAGAGTGGGGTTCACCTCGGCCAGCGGGGCTGTGAGTCCTCTGTCGCCACCATGAAACTGGGGGTGCTCCCATCCCAGGCCCACCTCCCCACTCTTGCCACAGCCCGCACCACTTACAGCTCAGCCGCACGGCCTCCCGGGCCACCTCTGGGTCTCGGCTGAGACGGGCCAGAGTCACCGCGGCCTTCTGCTGGACTCGCTCACAGGCCGCCACCTCGGCAGGGGTTCCAGACCTTGGCTTCTCGGACAGCATGCCCATGATAAGCTGGACCCCTGGGCAGGAGGCAAAGGACAGTTGGCACCTGCCCCCGCGGGGAGCCTGCCCCCCCACCCCGGGGCCAGCTGGATAGGTGGCTGCAAAAGCCTGAGACTTAGGAGGTCTCAACCATGGGAAGGCACCGGATGAGGCCACCGCTTCTCCTCCTGCCCTGGGGCTATCTCTGATTCCATGCCTAAGTCACTCTACTTGGAAGGGACATCGGGAGGACCTCCCTTCTGATTTTTTAAATGCTATTACTGAGCTTTTATTATATGCACGACACTACACTGAATGCACCATAAATGCATGATCCCTAAAGCCTCCCAACAGTCTCTGGAACTAAGTATCTGTATAATTCACTGTGAGGCCCAAAGAGAAGCGGGGTCTCTTTTCCAGGGTCGCACAGTTAGTAGCCAGGAAGCTGGTCTCAGAACTCAGGTAAGCTGGTTCTTCTCCGTCACTCCTTCACCTCTGATCCAGCTGCATCTGAGAGGGGTCGAGAGGTGATGGGCCCCCCGTGGGAGGTGAGCCAAACCTTAGGCTGGACAAGCAACAGATCAAATGTTTTAGGGGGGCTTCTAGCACTGGCGGAGGATGGACAGTTGAATTGAGAGGTTTGAGTAGGGCCTGAATTTGGTCAGCCGAGCATTCTTCCCACCCTCCCCTGAAACCAGATCCATCTTCTGATTGTCCTACAAACCCACACCCACTTTCACTCTCACCCTCTGCCCCGGCCACCTAATTTTTCCGCAAGGATATCCTTTTCCCTCTCACACTCCAACTAAGTAATTCCCATCCTGCAGGTTGTAGTAAAAGTCCGTGTTCTGTGGGAGGTATTTCCTAACTGCCCCTGCCCACACCCCCTTCCCTGCACAGGGGCGGGGAGGGGGGCAGGAATCTTGCCAGCACAGAATTTAAACCAGACAGGGCCTGTGGATATATTGTACTTTGCTCTGTTGCTTCACACACTAATTTTTTTTAAAAATTCTTGTTATTATGAAAGTTGGGAAGTTTCCATTAAAACCCAGATTTCCATTAAAATCCAGCTTCCAAAACATTACTTCCTGACATGGGGGCCACAGTTCTTCCTGACAATAATACGCTAAAGCTTATTAACAGCTTGCTATTTTAAATGAGATTGGCCCAGTCCCTGCTGAGCCTACATCATCCATGGATAGTACCTGTCTGGCTCTATAGGTATCTAAGTTTGCAACCTCTGACTTAGACTGTGGAGCCAAAAGGGCCTTTAGAGATCTAGCCCAACCCCACTCTCCACCCTATCCCCCATTTCACAGAAGAGCACCTCAGATCTGGAGAGAGAAAATGATTTCCCAAGTGCACACAGGAGTTAGCCCCAGTCCAGGACCTCAGCCGCATGCCTCTGTGAATCTTACTTGAACCAGATGTCATTTCTAACTCTCCTGGATCTCAACGCACAGGGGCTGTTAAGTTACTTAGTTATGGCCCTGAGACTATTCAGTCCTGGGGAGTCGGGAGGGGTTCTCTTTCTGATGAGTTTTGTTAAGTACCCATTTCTCCCTCCTGTGGGCTCAAGAGCCCCAGTCTCTAATACCTCTGCCGCCACACACTAAGCTTAGGGCAAGGTGCTTCTCTTCCCAACCCTCTCCCAGGCCACTGAATGAAACAGTCTTCAGGCTCCCTATGCCCACAATGTCCCTAAGACAGGTCACGACCATGAATATCCAGAGGTATGTATGTTATGGCCTGTGGGCACATGAACAGGGGACACCAAAATGACAACTTTAGGAAGTGCCACAGGCTTAGGAAGTTTTACTAACTCCGGGTTCAGGTGCCCACAAAGAAGCACTTTCCCAATTCCCCCTTTGCACCTGCAAACTGACAAGGAATCAGATAGTTTCTTATACACCAGCAGGTAAGCTCCAGGGCACAAGGGCGTGTGTCCGTTTCCTGCATGGAAATAGATGCAGTACCTAGAAAGCGGCTTCACTCTAATCTTTGCTGACTAAATATCAAATGAATGAATATGAATGCATTCAGGTGAAGAGTCTTACAAATGTATAAAATCCAAGTTTCCTATAAATATATACTTCGTCGGGACGCCTGGGTGGCTCAGCGGTTGGACGTCTGCCTTGGGCTCAGGGCATGGTCCCGGGTCAGGGGATCGAGGCCTGCTTCGGGCTTCCTGTGAGGAGCCTGCTTCTCCGTCTTTCTATGTCTCTGCCTCTGTGTGTGTGTGTCTCTCATGAGTAAATAAATGAATAAATCTTATATATATATACATATATATATGTATATATATACTTCATCTGTCTTAACTAGAAAAAAATAAGATGCCATGAAATTGAGCTGCCTAGAAAAATCTAGACTGTGTTTCCAAAGGCCAGGCCAGGCCAGGCTCAATGCCAGAAAAGTTGCCTAGAGGTTGGGAGTTACAGCTTCGGGAACCAGCCCCCAGTGCCCTGTTTCCCCAACACTCTCTCCGGCTCAGTCCCAGCCTCTGAGGGAGAAGTCGAAGGAAAGCTATTGATGTCATGGGGTTGACAGTTAAGAGCTTGGGCTGCCCTGACCTGCCTCCCAGTGTAGGGGTGACAGCAGCCGGGCCTCCTTCCTCCAGTCCCATCACCAACACTCACACACAGTTCGGGGCGGGACAGGGGCAAAATCACCAGGCTGCATTCAGGGCAGGACACATCAGTCTCACACAGCCTGTAAGAGGACTGCCTTTCAAAGCCCGGTTTTCCCGACAGTGCTTGTCCCCTTCCGCCCAGGATCCCACTGAGCTCCAGCAGGCCCTGGCTTCATCACCACCCCTGCCCTGCTGGTCCCTCCAGCTCTGCCCACTGTTGTACTCAATCTCCTCATCAAAGGCTCTTCAGCTGCCTGCCAGTCTCCTGAAAGAGCAGGTGCGCTTGGCACAGGGCCCATTCTGCCCTAGATACTCTTGTAACAAGCTCCGTCTTCATCCTCCTGGCACCCTGCGAGGCAGGTGCATTCCCATTTTGCAGATGGAAAAGCAGAAGTCATACGGCTAGTAACAGAGGGCCAGGATTCAAGCCCAGTCTGTTTCCAGTTTCCCTGGTGGCAACCCCCTGCCCTCTGCTGCACTGTTTTATTGTCAATCTTACACTATGTCATGTTATCACTTTTGGGCTCCAGTTGGGCTCTCCTAGGACAAAGTCAAGGATTTCTTCATCTCTGTGTGCATTTGTTCAGTGCAATGCCAGGCATGTAGTAGGTCTCTAACTGCTGACTGAATGAGCCCATCAATAGCCCTTTGTAAACCATCAAACCCTCTACAGAGGCCAGATGTTCCAATCCCAAATCCATGGGCCTTTGGAGATCCATTGCCGCTCACCACTTGAACTTAAGGCTCTGAGTGCGGACAGAAGGGGCTGCGAAGGATGCTCCTCAAGTCTCTCAGTCTCAGCTGGCTCAGGAAAGTTTTTCATTATTACCTCAATCACATAAAATTAACACAAAATGATGTCTTTCAATTAGTAATAGGGCAATGGGGGATGGGGAATGTGTGTGTTTGTTAAAACAGCAGGGGCGACCTAGGGGAAGGGGGATTAACGAGAGCAGAAGCAGCTGGCCCAGGGCTCTCAGCTCACTCGTCCTCATTAGCGTCTTGGGTTTCCGACCGGCTGCTAATTGCTCCCTTATTTCCCAGTCACAGGAAGCCCTCGCCATTCTGCGTTCCCAGCTGCAAGGTGGCAGACCTGTCCTGGCCCCTAGCAGAGGCAGAGACAGCACAGGGCCACTCCCTGGCCCACCTCACCCCGACTCTGGTGACACCCTTGGTGCAAGGTGGGACCTGGGAGCCAGTGGGATGTCCATGTCCTCGGGTGAGGGGTCCAGGGGTCAGGCTTGCCCTGATCTGCTCCCCCACCCTCACTCCTCTTCAGACGCTTCAGCTTCCTGAGTGAGGCCAAATCCAATATGATAGGAACAACTTAAAGTCCAGACACATGCTCCGGCAGGAAGAGATTTTTACTTTTTGGATCATAATGAAATACTCGTCTACCCTTCATCACCCTAATTAAAATAGCACCTGCTAACCCCTCACCTCGGGTCTACCTTACGCCCTGCCCTGCTTTATTTTCTGCATCCCACTATCATCATCCGACATGCTCCATCTTCTCATTCATTGCCCCATGGAACTAAAGTCCCTCGGAAGCAAACATTTACGTATTGGCCCAGCTATACACATAAGCGCACACACATATATACGTATATGTATGTATATATATATATATACACACACACTCACGTAATTGTGCAGACACACATGCCCACGTTTCCATACCTGCACACAGCTCTTCACACAAACACAAAGGGCCCATGGTCCTATATAAACCATATAATCCATGCCACGTGCACACTGCTGCAAAGACATACCATTCTCCTGAATGATGTCAGAGGCGCACTGCTCTAGGACAGACATGTTTGCCAAGATGGTCACAATCTGGAAAAGAGAATAGAGAATCTGAGAAAATGCGCACACCTGAGCCGAGCAGTGCTCTTTACAGACAGCTGAGCCAGGAGTGACGAAGCTTTCCTGTAGCCTGTGGTTCTTTCCCATGGTATTTTCTTCCATCCTCGTGGGCACCTGCCTCCCATATGTATTTCCCCAGTGACTGGCTCTCACTCGTCAGCATGTGGCACTGGGATGGCCCCCAGGGGCCCCAGTACTCCACTGGAGAGAACAGCGTGCCTGAGTGAAGAGGGGACCCACCACCTTTCTGCAGAAATGCAGACAGATTGGCAGACTGCTGGCTCGCCCCCCCCCCCCGGACTGGGTGCCGCTCATCCTAGCCTCTTGCCCTGATAGTGAACCCCACCTACTTTCAGCCTGAAATTAATGGACAGCAAGGTCAAGTTAGAGAACATAAGATCAAAGGGCAGCATCACACCCCAAGTGTCATGTATTGTAAGGAACCTGGTGCGGAAGTTCTTGCTCAGCTGGCTTTGCAAGGCTGCGGTCCACAAGCCTTGCCTGTGGGTCATCTCTGAAGGGCTCTGTCTGCAGTAAAGAGATGCTGACGCCAGGTGGGCAGCAAGCCTTGGCCACAACCACACGGGCTGGACAGCCAATAGCCCACCCCACCGCGACCCCTTGGCCAGGGTCAAGGCTGCAGGGAAAACGCACCACCCAGAACTGGATTAAGGAACGGACCACCAAGAGACGGCTTACAGACCCCAAACTGTTAGGTGCCAAAACACCATTGGAAAATGTTGGAAACTTGGCACCTATTAACTCAGATACCACCCAAGACACTGCTCCCGAGGTAAATGGCAAAATGAAATCCACCCACTGCCACAGAAGCAGACAGCACCCTCGAGTGGTAATTAAAATAAAATAAAATAAAATAAAATAAAATAAAATAAAATAAAATAAAATAAAATAAAATAAAATAAAATGGAAAATACTCCTTGCTGGTGCAGTCCTCCCTCTCTCTCTCGAAAGGGTTCCTCAGAGCTTCTGGCACATTATAACTGGAGACCATGTCCCCACCTCTGAGGCAGCAGCTGACAGTCTACCGAGCACGGCTCAAGCAGCTTAAACTCTGGAACTGGATAATGCATAGTAATGTGAAGTTTGCCAAGAGAGAGTATTATCTCGATTTTAACTGGTTTGACACTGGCATATTATCCTGCGTAAATAAATGCATATGATAAATCTCTTCTTCTACACAGAAAGGAAAAGGGTTGCCATATGAATAGATTATCTATCCCCGTCCCCACCAAACACACATGTTGAAAAGGGACCTGCGTTCTTTGGTGGCTGTGTGTCAGGCCCTGGTGGCTCAGACCTGGTCAGGGGCCTGGCTGGCGTAAGCATGCCTGGGATAGGCTGTCGGGGTGGGGGTGGGCAGAGAATCTCCCAAAAGCTTTCTCCCACAGGCAACCCTGCCCGACCAGATGTTCTATGAAGGGAGTGGAGGAGGGTTAGTCCTTAGAAGTTTTTTCCTCCCCTTGGAAGACTGTGTGTAAGTGCTGAGAGGAAGGAGTTAGAGGAAATATATGGGTCAAAGACACAGTTTGAAGAAATGGAAGGAGGGACGCCTGGGTGGCTCAGTGGCTGAGAACCTGCCTTCGGCCCAGGGTGTGATCCTGGAGACCTGGGATCGAGTCCCGTGTCGGGCTCCCTGCAGGGAGCCTGCTTCTCCCTCTGCCTGTGTCTCTGCCTCTCTCTCTCTCTCTCTCTCTGTCTCTCATGAATAAATAAAATCTTTTTCTTAAAAAATGGAAGGAATAAAATTTAAATTAAAAAGAAGGGAAAGTTCCCCAGGAGGCATAAAGTGCATCGTCCTACAAGGAAGCAAACAGGAGGCCAAGTCCAGGGCAGAGCGCAGCTCACTGGCCTCGGGCCTTGGGTGGCCCATTAGCAACAGCACGGAGCGTGGCCTCCGGCCACATGGAGCCACCACATGCCACCCTGAGCAGCCACCCTCAGCAAAAAAAGGGGAGGGAGGACACGAGGAAGCAAGGCAGGAAGGGCAAACTAAAACAGGAAAGGGAAACCTCTGTCTGCAGCCCCAGGTTCATTACCCGCGATTATTAGCTGTGTCGGGCACAGGTAGGTCTTTGTGTCAGACTCATTTAGATCCTGTTAATGAAAATTACTTCCTCTTTGCAGAGCCTGTACCCCATGCGGTTTTCTGAGGTTCAGATGAAGTATTCAATTAAGCACAATTTGAATAAATGCCAATTACGCCCTGCTTGGAGTCCCCCTTCTGAAAGCTCCATGTGTGCGCCGTGATGTAGCGGGAAAGGGGCATCAATACCTCTCCTTGATGTCAGGCCCAGGGATGGGATCTTAGGGACAACTGGTTTACCTTGTTGGGGACATGAAACAATGCTGTCAGGGGACAGAGTGCAAGAGCCAGGCAGACAGTTGCCCCCAGCCCAGGATCATTCATTCCTGTCTGATGACTTTTCAATGAAGTCCTGTTCCTCCTGAGTGAAAGGGCACTAGTCCCCCTGCAGTTATTTGGGGAGTATAGGGGGGTATCAGCCTCGAGAGAGGCCCTCGGTGAGAGGCAGTGCAGTATGGTGGCTAAGCACATGGGTCAGCCTACTTCCAAATATCAGCTCTAAAACAAACAAACAAACAAAAATATCGGCTCTATCATTTTTTTCCACAGAATCTTGGCCATGTTAGTGAATTACGAACTACCACAGGCTTAGTGGCTTAAAACGACACAATTTTACCTTGCAGTTCTGGAGGTCAGAGAATCCACGTCCTTGCCCTTTCTGGTTTCTCGAGGCTGCTCCCATTACTCAGCTCTCAGCCCATCACTCTGACCTCTGCTTCTTCACTCATGGTTCACTTTCTGACTCTGACCTTCCTACCTCATCCTCTAAGAATCCCTGTGGTAACATTAGACCCACATCAATAACCCAAGGTAATATTCCTATATCAAGACCCTTATCGTATCCACAAAATCCTTTTGGCCATGTAAGGTAAAACCCAGGTTTTGGGGAATAGGATGTGGACCTCTTTGGAGGGTCATTATTTGGCCTACAACAGCAGATAAATAGATAATTCATAAGACGGTCACGAGCATTCAATGAGTTAATGTTTTGTCAAGCACCCAGAACATTTGGTGAATAAAATGAGTATAACTTCCTTCTGGGAAACAGAGCCTGAAAGTATCCAGAGCTGGAAAGATTATGTCAAGGAGTCCTAACCAATGCAATGCCCGCCGTTGCCAAATGCACTGTTAATGGGAGATCATTCCTGAAGGGAGACAAGATCCCAGAGCAGAAGGAGCCCTTCCCAGCAGAGAACCAAAAAACCTCTGGCTCATTACCTCTGTGGCATTTTTTTTAAGATTTTATTTATTCATTCCTAAGAGACATGGAGAGAGAGGCCGAGACACAGGCAGAGGGAGAAGCAGGCTCCCCACAGGGAGCCCGATGCGGGACTCGATCCCAGGACCCCAGGATCACGCCCTGAGTCAAAGGCAGACGCTCAACCGCTGAGCCACCCACGTGCCCCACCTCTGTGGCATTTTAAAATCATTTATCCTTTGGCCTCCCAAAGACTGACTGCCTTAAAAAATTGAGGTGAATAGCAAATTGGCCAGAATAGCAGCGGACCTCCCTCGTCACTGATTCAAGAAAAAAATGCCCCCATGTGGTAAGAAGAAAGTTGGCAAAGCCTTTTGATGTCAGCACACACACACACACCCGGAGAGAAAAAGGTTTGTTCCGGCGCTGGCCCAGGGCAGGTGCCCCTGGAACACTTGTCACCTGTCTGCAACGGATCCCAAGGCAGGAACCGGGCTTGTCTCACATCCTCAGCAACGTTTGCCTGTGATCACACTCTGACTCTCTCTCTCTCTCTCTGTGTCCCTTTCATTTTCTACATCGTACACTAACACTTTCTATATTGTGGACTAGGAAGACCATCCCTTATATAAAAAAAAATCAAGTGAGGATTATTCTGCACAGAAGCAGGTGTATGACAGAAAATCTAAGACGCATTTAATGAAAAGTTATGATTGCTTTTATGCTGTGCAGTAATTAGGACAGAAAGGCCAACATTTCATATGACTGCAATTAGAATTACTCTTTAATTGCTAGATGGAGTATTTAGATGTCTACCATCACCAGGTTAACTCCCTGAAAGCTAGCGCAACGGTGTCAACCAGGGAGAGCAGCCCGCAAAATCTCTTTCAGCCTCTAGGGGGAGCGCAGTGCCCTTCTCTCTCTCTTTCTTCTCTCTCTGTCTCTCTGTCTCTCTCTGTCTGTCTCTCTCCCTCCTACCATCTTCCCTCCACTTCACTTTTTTTTTTCCTTCCAAAAAACCAAAAGAGTCAAGACAAGGACATGGGTCTGAAGCAGGAGGGGCCTCAGGGAGGAAGGATGTGGCCTCTCTGAACACCACTTTCTTCCCCAAGGCCAGGGAGGCGAGGCAGTGCCCGGGAAGGTGCAGCCTCCGCTGCTCTCTGCTGAGCCTCTCACTCCATCTGCTAGGAGTGGTCAGGGGTCTGGAAGCGGGGGGCTGGGGGCCGGCCAGGCACGGACAACAGGAGCGCGCCTGCCTAGGCCTGGGACAAGCACACGGCCCCACGCTCGGCCACTCGGATCGTCTGGGCCCAGCCTGCCTCCTCACTACCAGAGAAGCCAGACAGGAGGAGGACTGGGGTTTGGGCTCAGGAGAGAGAGCCACACAGGCCGCACCAGCGCCTGGGATGTAGGTCCCAGGCTGTGGGGGAACTAGGCCAGAGGACTGTCCCCGGGGATTGCATCGAGGTTGGGGTGTGCGCCTCCCAGAATCAGGGACCGCGTGCTCTGCACTTAGGAAACTAACCCTTGGCTCTGTAGGAGGAGCTTCTGGAGCAGGTCAGGACTGGGTGTTGCGATCCTGGCTTTACAGGCTTTATCAACACCCCCCACCCTCCACCCCCAACACACACACAACGTGCATACACCCCCACACCCAGCCTGGAACGACACATGCACTGCCTCACTCCGTACTACACTCCCTACCACCACATCCCCTCCACGTCTGGCCCCACATTCCTGCCCCAAAGCTGACAGTCCCTGTCACTGACCCATCCCAGTCCCTGGTTCTACCACAGACCGCAGCCCCATTCATTACTGAGTATCCACCTTGCTTCTAACTAATTTATGAGCAATCTGTCATCCCATCATCATCGTTGTCCCGACGACCCTAGGACAGAGGGAATAGATGGTCCCCATTACACGACCGAGGAGACGTGTGGCTCAGAGAAGTTAAGCAATTTGTCTAAGGTCACACAGCCAGGAAACGGCAGAGCCAGGATTTGAAGTCGGGTCTGTCTGAACCCAAAGCCTGTGCTGTTTCTCCTCCGTCATGGGCATCACATAGGTATATAAAAGGGTTTGGGGGCAGCCGGGGTGGCTCAGCGGTTTAGCACCACCTTTGGCCCGGGGCCTGATTCTGGAGACCTGGGATTGAGTCCCACGTCGGGTTCCCTGCGTGGAGCCTGCCTCTCCCTCTGCCTGTGTCTCTGCCTCCCTCTCTCTCTGTGTCTCTCACGAATAAATAAATGAAATCTTTAAAAAAAAAAAATAAAGAACTAAGAAAATAAAAGGGTTTTGTAAAGGATTAGAGGATTAGAGGGCTTGGCAACGTGAGTCAAAATTATACTCCCTACTAACTGGCATTTCTGATAATGGACTCCTGATTGTGATATTCATGGTGAGTTTTCAGAAATGCCACAAAACCTGAACATTCTAAAATACCAAGCAGGCAATATGTTTTGTTTTGTTTTGTTTTGTTCCATGGGAAGCATATAGCAGTACCTTCACCTCTAAGAAAGCAATTATTTCTGAAGGCCAAAAGAAGTCACGCTCGGTGAAAGCTTCTGTTGTGGCCTAGACAAGATCCCCGGGTCCCGGTCACCGTAGGGTGTCACCCTGGGAGGGTGCTGGGAGGCTGTAAGGTGGGGGAAGCACAGACCCCCGGTGGCCCTCACCCCTGTCCACACCCCAGAGGTGCTGGTGCAGACAAGGTAGGCGCGGCAATGAGGGTTTTTGTTAGACAAATTAAGGGAACTGGGCTTGCTGGGGTGACAGGGGTGCTCATCGAGATGTCCATGCGGAGGTGGACAAAATAGAGATCCAAGACCCAGCGGCTCTGCACAGCCCTGGCGTCACTGGCAGATGCATTACCGGAAGCCTCGCGGCATTTAATTTCCTAAGTGTTTCAGGGGGCGGTGAGCACTTCAGAGCCTAATTCATCTTCGTTGTCTTCATTACAGAGAGCTCCGTGATCACTTTAATCCTCCCCCTGCCACAGGAAAGAGCCATTTGTTTCCTTAATGGGTGCGCTTTCACTAGCTAAGTGGTTGCTCTGAGTCACGGCAGTAGGTGGGCAGAAGGTGAAGCTGTCCCGAGGATGTGGGGGGCTGGAGGGGAGGGGATTGGTCGTGCCTGGCCCAGACTTAGGGGGTAGGGGAGACCTAGGAGCCCAGAAAGGGAAGGAGGGGGGGGGATGATGGGGTCAGGGTTGAGGGATGTGAGGAGAGGGGCAGGAAAACTCTGGGCTCCAGATTCAGAAGGAACTGCCACCTGCATGGAGTTTGACCCCATTCTCTCTGGGCCCTGACCCCCCACCCAACCGCTTCTGAGGAATCCATGAGGTTTCAGAAGGGGGCCAGCCACTCCTCATGATAAAGGAGGGTCTCTGCACACAGAGCTACAGGATGTCTAGCTGGAAGAGACAAGCCCGTATCACCGACCTGGAGGTTCCCCACCCAGGGCCATGGGCCACACATTCAATGCCACACGTTTGCATTCATTCAGTTAGTTAGTTATTTCAACTTAGTGAAGTATGTTGTATTGAACCCCATTCGCAGGGGAGAAAAGTGAGGCTCAGAGTGAATTGCCCCAAGGTACATGATTCGAATAGCAGAGGAGCTTCTTCCCCCCACCCTACCCCAGAGGAATCAACCACATGAAATAACTAGAAACGAATAAATATCACTAGGAAAGTCAACACCGCATTGTGAGGCGTGGCCTCCAGGAAAAGGAGGTGATGCCAGGTGACTGGAGCCATCAGGGAAGGCTTTCCAGAAGTTTCTGGGGGTAGGAATCAAACAGGAAGCTGTGGCAGCTTCAACTAGGTGTTGGGGCTGGGAGAAACAGAGACTGGAGCTAAGAGGTAGGCAGGGATGACTTGGGTGGGAGGCTGGGGGATCATCTAATGGGGGGGATCATCAGCTGGGGCACCCGATGGAATTCACAGAGGCCTAAAACCCACCGGATTGACCACCCCCACCCCTTGGTAGGGAAATGGGAGGCTGAGTATATAGCAGCAGTGGGACAGGATAGATTTCTGTAACCTCAGAGCTCAAGGCTCTGAAAAGCCCCTCATTCAATGTTTTTGAACACGTTTAACAATAAAATCCCTTTATATGTGGAGCTGTATGTGGAGCTCAAATACACAAAAACATTGAGAGTGATAGAGGGGTTGAGGTCCTGAATCAAGGCTCTGCTCTGCGGAGGCAGAGAAGGGAAGAACCTCTCTGCAGGGAGGGAACAAGCCAGACAGGCCGCAATGAGACTGGGACGCAGAATTCCACAGGTGGACCAGGGACACCTGGGGTGTCTGCCTTCTGGGATGCGCTGGTGTGGACAGAGATTGAGGAAGGCCCTAGAGTGGCTGGCATGGAGGAGTGGGGCAGAGAGTGGGCTCATGAAGATGCTCCAAGGCCAACGACATATGTCGAGAACATTTTCCTTTACCTAGAGTGTGACTCACAGGATGGACTGCGTGCTGGCAGGCCATGTGGTCTCCCTCTCCTCCAGAACCTTCGCCCTGGCCTCCTGACCTCTGTCTTTATGGCTACAGGCTCTGTGTCTGCTCCCCTCTGAGCCGCTCACCTGATCCCGGGTGTAAGGCGTATCCACTCTCTGCTTGTCGCTGCAAGCTTCCAGGAGGACCCGGATGGCATTCAGCTGTAGAAGCATCTCGCAGGCCATCGTGTCAAAGAAGGTGATGTTGGCCAGGGCCGCAGAAGCCAGCAGGAAGACCTCCCCAGACGAGGCCTCTTGGCACAGTTCTGGATGGTGAACAGGAGGAAATCAGCCTCCCTGCCAGTGCTCTCCTATCAGTTATCTCACTTGACTCCCGCAATTGCCCTGGGAGAAAGTCTGGGCAGCTGTTATGATGCCCATTTCACAGATGAGGAAAGCAGTTGCCAGAGACGGAAACTTAACTGCCTACATAAGTAGCAGAGCGGGGATTTGAATCCTGGTGTAGAATTTCTATTTCCTCCTGTATCCGTTTAGTCCTTTACCGAGAGAACACTACATGTCAGGCACTGCTGGTGTCTTGGGAAGGCGCGGTGAACACACAGATCAGGGCTGTGCCCCTGTTAAGTTTATGTCCTAGCAGTAGGTGAGAGAAAATGAACTTTTTAAAAATTAATAAGATTATTGTTGCACATTCTAATGTGAGGGAAAAAACAAACGAGTGCTAAGACAGGGAATAACTCAAGGCCTGGCGGGGTGCATACGGAAGATCTCCCTAGGAATGTGACGGCTGAAACTTTAAGGAGAAAATGGGGCAGTCATGAGAATACTTGGGGATCAACATGTTCCAGACCAAAGGAACAGCAGCATGTGCAAAGGCCCTGAAGCACAGAAGAGCTCCTGGTCCGTCTGTATCTCCAGCAATGTACATTAGACTGCTCCTGAATTTGTCTTAAGAAATTTGCCTTTCTTAAGAAAGAAGCTGAAGTTAAAACCTACGACTCTACCTTTCCAGCGGCCATCAGCAGAGCTTCAGGACCTCCTCTGGTCCCAGGATAAGGGATATATGGCAGAAAAGTCTTACACCAAGCCCTTGGATGGTAGGCTCTTTCTTTCTGATCCTAGTGGCCTTAACCCAGACCTAACCAGAGTCCCCCACTTACCATCTCTAAATGATGAATCTGATGGGCCTTTACAGAGGAGAGAACCTCCCCCAAACCCTGTCATCCTCCACCATTTAGCCCATGTTCCCATGGGCTCCACTTGACCCAGAATGGACTCCTGCCTCAGCAGGAGGTGTGCTGGCCACCCATTCTAGTGGGCCGAACTTCTGACCCTCAGCTCCAACTTGAGCATCATTCAAGGTGCTTCCTGGGTCCAGGCCCTCTCCTAGTGACAACACCTCTATGAAAACACAGAGAGAGGAAACCACACTTCAGGAAAACACCTGCAGCAAGAGTTGGGCCATGTGCAATCCTGATCCCTAATCCTAGCTCCCAAAGAATCTGTACTTCCAGCTTCTAACATTGAAGCTGGCGTGTCTGGGGCCTTTGAGTGAATGCAGTTACTGGCCCCTACCTAAACGGGGATGGAAAATAATATTAGTTGGGCCACCTGCTGTGTGCCTTGCTCTGCGTCATTAAATTCTGAGCACCCTTAAAGTAGAAGATGGTCGCCTCCATTTGCAGAAGCCAAGGCTTAGGGAAGCTACTGGTAGCAGAAACACTCCCATGTACTCTGCGTGAGGCACTGCTATACATATTTGACCCCCTGAAGCCATTCCATCCTTACTACAGCCCAACTTTCTACCACAATTTCATGGCTATAGAACTGAAGATTCAAATATTAAGCGATTTTCCCAAAATTGAGGCATCGAGAAGTATGCAGACTCAACCCCAGGCCTACCCAATCCCGGTCCCCATTCTTTGTGTCCCTGGCTGCCTCTTGTCCCTAAGCCTCTTTGACTTTTTCCCAGTGGCACTCCTACAGATTTCGGTGTCAAGCCTACCAGGGAGGCAGGGGCTGTCCCTGGGGAGCACTGTGCCCCTCAGCCCAGGTGGGACCAACTAAGCAACTCAGCGTCTTGATCTAAGCCGCCAGGGCAGGGCAGCAGATTCCCCCAGGAACTAAGAATTCTCTGATGGTTATTTTCCAATGGTTGCCCCCTCCTCCAATCTTTGGGAACCCCTGGGGACAAGCCAACCTCTTCCAGGCCACCTCCCTATACCCAAAGTTTGGAGTGAAACCACAGGAGTCACTGGCCCACTTTGCCGTAAAGATTTCTTCTAGATCCAAACACCCACAGTAATTCTCATGCAGTCACGGTTGCCGCCAACGCAGCAATTATTAACACAACCACCTAAGTGCCTTTTAATTTGGGTGCACATTTATTTAAACTACAGTCTGAGTCACCTGGGATGCGTTAGGAAGATTAAATTGAGGATTCCAGTGACTCATTTATAAATGTTTCCAGGGAATAGCAAGAAATTGGAGGGCTATTTCCCACCAAAGAACAGAGCCCTGGCGTCCAGCCCAGAAAATATATCCCATCTGCTGACTCTCAGAGCAGACTCTACAATGAATCTTCATAAGGAGAAAATAAATAGAGAGGCTCCTCTTCTTCGGGGAGAAATCCAACCCCGGGCAAAGATGTAGGGATGAAGATACGGCAATAGGGACTTGTTTCGATTATATAGATTTCGGTATGTTGATTTGTTTTAAATTTTTGCTATCACTTATGCATTGGGAGATTTTCTACAAAACTTTGGATTTTTGTCTTATCTTTAAAAACTGGCCTTTCTGGGCAGCCCAGGTGGCTCAGCAGTTTAGCACCTGCCTTCAGCCCAGGGTGTGATCCTGGAGACCTGGGATCGAGTCCCACGTCAGGCTCCCTGTGTGGATCCTGCTTCTCCCTCTGCCTGTCTCTGCCTCTCTCTCTCTCTCTCTGTCTCTCATGAATAAATAAAAAATAAAAATCTTTAAAAAATCAAAGGGGTCCCTGGGTGGCACAGCAGTTTAGCGCCTGCCTTTGGCCCAAGGTGCGATCCTGGAGACCCGGGATCGAATCCCACGTCGGGCTCCCAGTGCATGGAGCCTGCTTCTCCCTCTGCCTGTGTCTCTGCCTCTCTCTCTCTCTCTCTCTCTCTGTGTGTGTGTGTGACTATCATAAATATAAATAAATAAATAAATAAATAAATAAATAAATAAATAAATATAAAAATTGGCCTTTCAAAAAATAAAAAAATAAAAATTGGCTTTTCTTACACGGCAATGATCAACGGGAGATTAATAGTGACCAACCTCCCTTTTGTCAGGGCTTTTCAGTTTCCTACAGGGTGCAAATTCTCTTCTTTTCTTCTCCCATCTGGCCCTCTTCAATCATTTATGTGTCCTGCCTGGCTCCAGTGGATGACTGACCAGGAGCTTCCTGGCATAAGTGAATCCTAACTCTGTTATGTTGCCTTGAGAAGGTTCCTCAACCTCTCCTGGCCTACGTTTCTTCTCCTATTGAGTGAGCACTGAACTTTCTGGTCTCTTGAGTTCCCTCCAGCCAAGATCTTCAACAGTTGGCTTCTGTGTTTGGTCAACTTTGAAGAAATGTGAATGTTGGCAAATTGATGTATCCCAGCCTGGCTTGTGGGTGCCACTGCCCCAATGACCAGAATCAGCCATAAAGCCAATTTAACTGATGACTCCTATGTTCAAGGTCCTTGCAGAGCATACAATTCTAGAGCTAGAAGGACTCAAAAGAAATGGCTCCAACCTCATGTTTTCTGTATTAGGAAAACTGTGAAGTAGCCCCGCACAGGATTGCTGGTCAACAGCTCTTTGTTAAATGGATGAATGAAAAGACAAAAGCTCACACTCGAATGTTCTGACTCCTAGTCTAGTTTCTGTGCTGCCCCTACATTTGTGTTATGCCAAATCTTCCCAGCCTTGGTTTGAGAATTCCAAGAGTGAATGCTAAATTTTCTGATGAGATCAACTTTCATTCCGTTTCAATCAGACATGGATATGGAGACGGTGGCAGAGGTAAGGATAGAAGTAGAAACACATATCCTTGCCAGGACTTATAGAAGAAAGGATGTGGTTGGCAAAACAAGTCTCCTGAGGGTTTTATCCAGACAAGTACCAGCTTTGGCAGTTTTGCAAAAGAAAGCTGGAGGGAGAGAATATTCTAGATTGCAGACTATGATTCTCCAGTCGGGAGTACATAAGTCTGAATAGGAGAACTTAGAAGAGGGCAGCCCGGATGAGTGATCAGCCCAGGGCGTGATCCTGGAGACCCAGGATTGAGTCCCATGTCAGGCTCCCTGCATGGAGCCTGCTTCTCCCTGTCTGTGCCTCTGCCTCTCTCTCTCTCTCTCTCTCTCTGTGTGTGTGTGTGTGTCTCTCATGAATAAATAAATAAAATCTTAAAAAAAAAAAAAGGAGAATCTAGAAGAGTCACAGCTTTCAAGGCCCCACAATGTGGGTGCAGTGGGGGCTTGCAGGTGGCAGGCTGGTGTGGACCAGTGCTTGCTGAGAAGCTGTTTGCCCCAACATTCTGTGCATTCATTGGCTGCAATAGTCTGACACTTCAGAGACAGCCTACCAGAGTCTCTCTGGCCAAGTATCTAAACCTCAAAATTCAAGGTCCTCTACTTCCCCATGGGCTTGTCCCAGTCTCTATTCAGAAAGGCCAGTTAGTCCCAATGTGACCTCAACTCAAAGAACTTCTCAGCTGCATGCATTTCAATCAGAGACTTGGCAACAAAGTTCTTTAAAGCCTGACTCTAATACTTTAACTGTGGGATTTTAGCTAGTGTGACATCAGTGTGGGAGCTACATGGGGTGCAGTGTGTGTGGGTGTGTGGAGGGGGGAGGAAGGCCTCCTTGGCCCTTCTTGAAGACAACTGTGACAAGTCCCACTCACGCAGCAGTCCCCTCCCGCCCAGGGTGACTCACTGATGAGAGCAGTCACGATTTCTTCCATGCTTTCCAGAAAGCTGCCGAGGTGCTGAGTAAAGGGCAGGTGTGGGGAGGTGACCTGGGCAACCACAGCAGCAGCTTCAGCCCGTGTGGCCTCTGGGTGGCTGTCATCGGTCAGGATGTCGGCCAAGCATAGAACACCATCCACCTGCAGGGGAGAGAGGGCATGGCCCTGTATGTCCTGGGAGAGCACAACTGCTCATGACAGTAAGGAGACAGACACAAGCCCCCTATAGGGTCCAGCCCTAGATTCCCAGAACAGCCCAGGACACTATGTGGAGCCAGGGACAACCCTGGTGGCAAGACCCCAAAAATGACCCCAAACCTGGCATCAGAAGACCTGTCCTTTGGCTCCAGCAGAGACCAGGGACCTCTCCTGGGCTTCTTAGAGTGCAGGCATCAAGCCAAGTGCCCAGGGATAGCCCCTGACCATCCACTACAGCAAAACACAGTATAAAGAACAGTCACTTAGAATCCCCACATCCCCGAGCTCCCACCCTGGCCCCCTCTTACTTGAGCCGTATGACTTGGCCTCCATCACTTAGCCTGTCCAAGACTGTATCCTCATCCACCAACAGGGTGTTGGGGGTTAAGGTGATGAAGCAGGTGATGCGGATCCAGGAAGACAAATGTTGGCTCCCTCCTCCCTTCCTCGGGTTAGCGCTAGGCTGAGCTCAACGTCCTTCCCTCCCCATCCCGTCTTCCACCACCCTCCCCACTAGAAAGAGGGCTGCTTCCCTGAAAGCTTGCTCTCTGCCTAACCAGAGAGGAATGAACCTGGGCGTGGTGGGATGGGAATGCCAGAAAAAGACTTCAGTTTCCCAGTTCTGCCCCAATCAGACTTACTCATGGCACAATAATAGCTTCTACTTATCGAGTGCTCACTATGTGCCAGCCATCCTTTCAAATGCCGTACATATACCATTAACTCCTTGTAATGATCGTCTGAGGCCAGTATTATCAATATCCCCATTTTACAGATGAAAAAACTGAGACACAGAAGGATTCATTGACTTGCCACAAATCACAAACTTAAAAAAGTAGTTGGTTTGGAATTTGAACCCAAATTGTGTAGCTTCAAAGCCCATGGTTTCTATCAGGACATTATACTGCCTCCTAAGAAGTGACAGCTGAACCTCAACCTCCACCTCCATCAGGGGTCACTAGATGAGGCTCTCTGGAGAAAGGCAGGGGAGGGATGGTGGGTAGTAACTTATCAGTTAGCTCAGCTGGGCCCCTGCGGCTCCTTAGATGCCCCAGGCCACCAGCCTGCCTGAGGACCCTGTCACCAAGCACCAAGAAGTCCTTCCTCTGTTGGGGTGGGGCAGGGACGAGGCCAGGGAAGAACCAGGGAGAGGTGAAGTGAGGAGACACCTGTCCCTCTACTCCCCACACCTGCCCACACCGGCTCCTGTCCCTACACCCTTACTTCCTGCCACTCAGCTCAAGCAGCTCTCCAGAGGTCAGTGTTTCTCTTGACTAATCACCACCACTGACTTCTGGGCCTCCCTTAAATGGCTCTTGGGAGCTGTAAGGTCCATTAGCTGTAAAAGCCTTTGGCAATCTCAGACTCAAAAGAAGACGAATATGGGAACAGGAGCTGGAGGAGCTGTCCGCAATAAAACTCACCTGGATGTGCCTAATTAAAAAAGAGCAAACAGCAGCCAGGCAGCTGCAGGCAGGACTGGATTCATGCCAGATGTCTGACTAACAGGCCTTCAGAGAAGAGCCTCGCTTGGGCCCAGGTAAGGAAAGGGGGCTGCTCTGGGCCTGGAAACAGGAAGTAGCCCTATTGCCAGCCTGCCAACATAAGAAACCTCTTAGACCTGTCGGAGTTTTATCCCTTTCCCCCTTCCAGCATTATCCAAGGCTATAGCTAAGGGTCTCAAGTATCTTGGTCTCCTCAATCTGACATTGGATGTAAATGGAATTGTATTCCCAAACCCGGTTGAGAATGCCAGACAAACCCAAACCAGGCCCACTAGAAACCTAGTCCCCAACACATGCTTGGAGATGGGTCAATCTGAATACACTAGAGAGGCCAGGAGTGAGTGATCTCTGAGGGCTCCCTAAATGCTCCTCAGCAAATGCACTGAGTGCAATTTCCCTGAGCACATGCTGTGTGCCAAGTAGAGGTGAGTCAGGGCAGGGTATCCTCTGCAGTGAGGCAGGAGACTCATCCACAGATAACCATTTTACATTGTGATTTCCAATGAGGACATTCTCTGGGGAGGCCTCTGGAAGCCACCCTGACTTAATGCCCACCCTCCAGCTTGAAGAGGTGGCCCTTGGAATACAGGCCCAAATACACCTGCTAGCATCATAGCATTTATCACACTGTTTCTCCAAGTGGAGTCTGAGGACTAGTTGCACCCAATTCACGAAGGGTTTCTCCAAAGCACATTCCTGCCCACACCCTTCCTAGACCTACTCAGACCCTGGGAAGGTGTGGAATTTGCCTTTTTCACAAGGTCCGCAGACGCCTTTATGCACCAGGGGTTTGGAGCAGCACCACTGTGATGATGTGATGATGTGAGAGACTCTCTCTCTCTCCCCCTTGTCTGTTTCCCCTGTCCCCAGAACACTCTTCAAGTCTGGGTACAGCTTGTTCACTCATGGCTGCTCCAGTCCTCACACATAGTAGTAGGCTTTGGGTAAAAGGGGAATAAATGCAAGAGAGTAAAAGTTGGCTGAAGACTTGAAGACACACCTGAGCTAAGTAAAGGGGAAGGGATGGCATCGCAGATGGAGGAGCTATTGTGAGCAAGGGCCACTACAGGGAAGAGCAACTCCAGAGAAACAGCCAGCTTGGGAACATGTATTCTACAAATTCCTAACCCCAAGACAGTGGCTCTGACTGAGCCTGATTCCTCTTCTGCCCTTAGGTTTCCCAAGAAGCGTATCTGTGGTGTCATGTCTATGCAACTGCCCACTGTCCTGCTTCCCTTCTAATGTGTTTTCTGCACTTCAGATATCTTTTGGTAACTTGTTAATTATGAAATCTATCGTCCCTTCAAAAGAGAATATGTGTGTGTGTTGCAAATGTATGAGGTATAAAAAATAACAAAACAAAACAAAAAAAAACAAAAAAATAACAAAAAAAATAACAAAACAAACACCCATATGGGTATACGTATGCACCTAATATCCAGAAATACTTTTTTTTTTTAGATTTTTAAAATTTATTTATTCATGAGAGACACAGAGAGAGAATGAGAGAGGCAGAGACACAAGCAGAGGCTCCATGCAAGGACCCGATGCGGGACTCAATCCCTGGTCTCCAGGATCACACCCTGGGCTGAAGGTGGCGCTAAACCACTGAGCCACCCCGGGCTGCCCCAGAAATTCTAATATTAGAAAGAAGATAATATCATGAAGCTCCCTGTATGCAGTTTTTGATCTCAAAGCTTTTCCCTGTTGGATGGGCCACTACCCTGAATTTTGTGCTATTATTCCCTGTTTCTTTAGAGATTTATTGCATGTGTATAGCTTTACAAGGTTTTGAACTTGACATAAATGGTATCATGGTGTGTATAGCACTTTGCTCTTTCCCCCCAGTCAGTTTGGAAAACTCCTAAGGTCTATTTTCACTGCTGTGTGGTATCTCACTGTATAAACCAACTGTTATTCATTTATATATTCTCCTGTCGATGGTCATTTGAGTCATTCCTCGGTTTTTGCTATAATATGCAGTACTTCTATAAATGTTCTTCCAAGCGTCTTCTGGTGCATGCATGCCAGATTCTCTAGGGGTCTCAATCAAGGAGTAGAATAACTAACTCATAGAGCCTGCACATCTTTAATTCTACTAGTGTTGCCACGTTGTTTTGCAGAACAGCTGTAGCAGTTTATATCCCTATCAGCAGTGTATAAACTCAACTCCATACTCTTGCCAACATTTGGTACTGTCAGATTCTAAAGTTTTGTCACTTTGGTGGAGGTGTAAAATTTTTATTTTAATATGTATGTCTCGACTTCCTACCATGAAGCTCAGAGTCCTTTCATGTTTTCATTTTATTATGATTAGGCTTGGTTCTGATTTGGGGTTTTGCCATTTGGACTTTTTCTACGAATGGCCTGTTCATGTGTTTTGCTCATTTTTCTATTTGGTAGATTGTCACAGTGGGTCAATTTCTTGGGCCTTTGTGTCTGATGCTTCTGATCTGCCACTTAGCCTGCTGTCAGCAAGATGCCACTAGCCCAAGTTGATTTCCCTATGCATCACCATCTCAGCAGCTCCAACCCAGCCAGCTCACTGCAGTGGGAGGCCCTGAAGGGGACCACACCACTGGACTCCAAGCTTCCCAGTGCATGAACTAGTTCCTGTAGCATCAGAACATGCACAGGCTCTAGAGTCACACCTACCTGGATCTGAATCCTGCTTCTGCATCTTACTAGCTGCACAATTTTTGTACTTATTTTGAGTCTTTATGTATAAGTGGGGGTAAAAATATCCACCTCCGAGGATGTTGGAATTTAACAAAGATAATGCATGTATAATACCTGCCACATGGTGGTGCCATCATCCCACCTCTTCTGCATCTGATGATTGCAGCTATCTAGATCTGGGGCCCTGAGTCCTACTCACTTTTCTGTAGACTCCTCTGGGACTGACACTCCGCTGGGAACCTCAGCCCTTTGTGTTAGGGCCCACAGGCTTTCCTACTTGTTTGGACATCTCAACTCATGCAGCCCAGAACTAGAAATTTTAAAAGGAGAGTGACTCCTATTTCAATTCCTGACCAGCACCAATAAGATGAATAACTACAATAGCTCGGAAGAGAACAAAGAGAAAAGTAGCACAATCCCTGCATCTCTTTATAGCTCATCAAACATTAATTGTGCACCTACCTTGTGATGGGCACTGAACTAGGCACTGGTACAAAGATGAATCAGGAATAAACAAGAAATGGAGAAGCAAAGACAGACACATAGAGAAATAAAAGATGAAGGAGGGAGAATGAGAGAGAGAGAGATCATATATTTAAGAAGGATTTGGGGACTTGTCTGGTGCAGAGCCCAGCCTCCCTGTCCCTCTCTGACTTGGCCTCTACAACACCTCTCCCTGCTGGGAACCCTCTCCAACTTGGTGCTCTCTCCTGCCTGGGACTCTATGACACCCCATTGTAGGGGCTCATCTCCGCCCTA